TTAATTCACTGATGAAATTCTGCCCTCATGGTAGGGTGGACCCAGCCAGACTCCATAGACTTGTAAAACATAGCAACTAAAGAAAAACTTCCAAATCTGACACCTCTAAAAAAATTTATATATTTTCATAAACAAACTTTAATTTTCAGAAGGAGGATGCCACAAAATGGCAGCTTGGCAGCCAGAGGGAAACTTCATTCGTAGCAACTTTGGACATAGAGAGGATGCTTATCTTATACTTTCTCTGGAGGTTCCAGGCTTTAGGACTAAAGAACGAATAGCCAATGGTCAAGCTATAGAGATAGGAAGAGTCAGTTTTACATTTGAATTGGATTGTGAGAAAGACTGTGAATTTGTGTTCATGCAGGTGCATAGTTTATTATGTTTTTATGCATATCTAGTTGTTTGTATGTTTATCTCTCTCTCTTTATATGTGTGTCCTCTAATGGCTCAGTGTTAAGTCTGAAGGCTGGGTTTTGATACTCGAGGTGGGCACACACACAACAGGTCCATTATGTAGCTTTATGTCTAACAACAAAAACTGTATATGTAGTCTTGCAGTTGGATCTAATGTGTGTGTATTACTTGTATATAGGTAGATTAATTTACATGTTATTTGATGTTTATTTAGTACATGCTTGAGAAGTTCAAGAGCTGTCAGCATGATTAGTTCCAACAAGCAGAGTTGTTGGTTTGAAACTTGCCCATTCACAAACATTGTCCATTAGTTTGATTGAAAATGTTTATGTCAGTGTAGGTGCATGCGTAATATTTAATAATCCTAAGTATTTAAAAAGGGTTTGGCAGACAGTCCCTGACTCTCCTTATCCTTTACTTAATGAATGACCAGGGCTCTAAGCAGAGCTTATTAGAATCCATCTAAAGGAAATTACAAGGATTGTGTTTCTCTTAGCTAATTGGATAGCCTACATAATAACATCTGCTTTATATCTGTTTATTTATCTGTTGGTTTTCCTTGGGCCAAATTAGTAACAACTTAAAAAACAATCTAGTTGAAACTACAAAATTACCACCAGTTTTAATTCCACACCCACAACTCTGCACCCAGTTCAGTACGGTATACTGTATGATCCAATAGCTGATTTAATATATATATGATTATGTGTACAACAACTGTCATTGGAAGATTATCAGTGAATTATGTTAGAATTGGAACTATCTTGTTTTTTATTCTGAATGTAAATTATTGCTTGCATTCAAATTATATTTTAGCTTTCAGTAACACCTGTGACTTGTATACAAATTTTGGGTTTTATATGATATGTAAGTTCACAGAATCACTGTTTTCATGAAACAATGTATTTTACAGAGTACAGTACAAAGAGGTGTTTCAGCTATAGAGACTTGGTCTGGTAAACAGAAGAAACAACATTATAGGTAAGAGACAAATATGTAGAGTCACAGAAGAAACAACATTATAGGTAAGAGACAAATATGTATAGTCACAGAAGAAACAACATTATAGGTAAGAGACAAATATGTATAGTCACAGAAGAAACAACATTATAGGTAAGAGACAAATATGTAGAGTCACAGAAGAAACAACATTATAGGTAAGAGACAAATATGTAGAGTCACAGAAGAAACAACATTATAGGTAAGAGACAAATATGTAGAGTCACAGAAGAAACAACATTATAGGTAAGAGACAA